CCCTGCTCGGCAGGGAGCCTGCTTCTGCCTCTAACCCTCCCCCCTCTCATGTGCTCTCTCTCTCTCATTCTCTCTGTCTCAAATAAATAAATAAAATCTTTTAAAAGAAAAGAAAAGAACAGAAGAACCACTGGCAGTCTGGGATAAATGACTGGCAATCACTTCACATCGCTATCTCTGCTGAATAAAGCCTTATGCTGAAGGAAAGCTTCAACTAAACTTCCAGTCTTCACAGGAGAGGGTCTGGAAGCAGGGGTGGGTGGAGGCGGGAGAGAGAAGTGGCTCCATCCTAATGCCCCTGCAATCCCACCGCACAGGTAGCAACCCGCCCCCGCAACCAGACACAGCTGTGCACGTGGCTATCTCCTGGACAAGGCTCTTGCTGCCAGCAAGGGTTTGGGCATTATTTCTTACTCTAGGTGGAAGTTCCACTGGGCTGAGATTAGAGAGAAGGAAAAATGATATCCCACCTTTTATCCAGAAAAAAAATTATGCATGTCCCATTCTCAGACAAGATAAGCCCACTAATATCAAATTATCATGACAGAATCTTCTCTTAAATCTTGTTGTCTCCTAATATAAGTCCACAATTATATATTTAATTTCTACTCTACTCCTAGCATGGTGCTATGTGCTGAGGCTACAGACATGACTAAAAGATAGTCCCCCTCATGGAAGCCAAAGTCCATATGAGCGTAGACACTGAATGTTTAAAATGCTATAGTAAGGGGTGCCTGCGTGACTCAGTCAGTTAAGTGTCTGACTCTTGATTTCAGCTCAGGTCTTAATCTCAGGGTCGTGAGTTCAAGTCCCACATTGGGCTCCAGGCTGGGCCCAATATATGCAGTAGTAATAACAGCCAATAATAAGAATAGGCAATATTTATCCAGTGCTTAGACTGTGCCTGTCACTGATCCCAGGGCTCTATAAATGCATTATCTCATTTAATTGCCACAACTACCAAAAAGGCAAGTACTCTTATGAGATCCATTCCACAGGGCAAAAAACTGAGGTTCAGGGCTTAAGTAACTCACCCAAGCTCCTATCACTAGGAAGGGGCAGTGCCAGTTTTATACCCAGGCCTGACTTCACTACCAGCCTGTGATAATAGAGATGGCAAAGGGCATTTGAAGGATGAGAAGAGGAGAGAAGTCAAGAGGAGATGTTTGACCTAGTCCTTACGCAGTCCTGGTGACAAGTTTTGAGCCCCGGGTCTGTGCAGAGGCACCTTGCTCATAAAATTTGAACTGTAGCTTCCCCTCCTCCCCCAAGAAGAAGGCTCTGGTTAGGTTTACAAGTTTGGCTCTATTTCATTCTGTAAATATTCGGGACTGTGAGGGTTCTAGAGGGCTCTCAGGAACTCAGAATTTGATGTTATTTTGGGGTCCCAGAAGAAAGGAACCGAGATCTGAGGTGTGAAGATCTAGTAACGTCCTTCTAAGGAGGAAGCAAATGCTTCCCCATAATCTTGCTTCATAATACAACAGATTGTTGGGTCAGTATATGATCTTTTATGAGCCTCATGAATAAAACAACATTGGCACCCCACTATCTACCCAAGATCGAGGGCTGGGTCTCTCCAGGTTCCATCCAGCTCCAACTTGTAGAAGCCTGTCAATTGAGAGGGTTGGCTTAACAAATGGCTAAAGACAACTCTGACCAGAAAACCCCAAACCATATATGGGAAGAAAAGCACAGAGCAGAGCAGGGTTGAAAATAGAGAAAATGCTTTTCTTAATATTTCGGTGGTAATTTTTCACGGTCAAAGTAAAAAAAAAAAAAAAAAGTCAAGATTAAGGGACATAAACTAATATATACACATATACCTAGACTATAGATACATATATACTGTATACAAAGACCAATATAGGCTTCAGTATACTTTTCTTTCCAGATTTCCTGAGCTATACAGGAAGGTCTAAATATGAATAGACAGATTTGTTTTAAACCTTGTCCATTAAGTGGTACTGGCTTTTAAGAGCTGAGAAAAAGTACTTCCCTGGTTGCAGGATAGACATATGACTTGTAGCCATTTCACTGGGCAAACTACGGGTCCTTTGTATACAATTTAATTTTGATAGACCTTTTTTAAGTCATGATAATCATTGTTTCCCTGGTATGAGGTAGAAAATGTCAGAAAATATTCTAGTAAATAAAGAAAGAACATCCTCTTACCAAATACAGTATAAGGAGACACAAGCAATGCACTTGGGCTTGCATCATTGCCGTTTTCTATATTGAAACTCCTGTGAATAAACCAGAGAATAAAAGTGATTAGTTACCAGTCTGTTAAAATCATGTCTTTCCAGCCAGAAAGGATCATTGGACAATATCCAGTTATAAGCCTAGTAGAATGGGATCACTAAAGGCCAGCTTCTTCTCTTTAGGGAACAACCCAGTCTTCCAGGGCTTCATGATACCTCCTCCAGAGGAATACACAAGTCAACATCTCAAAAGAAGCTCATGGTAATTCTATTTCTTTAACTGCTTCGCTTTGTTATAATCTTCTCCACTTATAGGTCTTAAATGATAGAAAAGAAGTATAGTTTTCACTTTTATTATATGCATGGGAAAGATATGTTTGGGCAAATGCCAGGATAACTAGATATTAACATTTTAATGGTTCTGATTCAAAGCGGCAAATACATGAGATTCCTCAAACAGAAAGAACTCAAGAATGTTCACAGTCCTTCATTCAAAGACCTCACCAGCCAAACTTTGGTCTTCTAAACATTGTTGTTAACTAGGCAATATGCCTAAGGAAAAGGTATACTTTTTATTACTCCAAAAGCAACCAAACAAGCATACAAACTCTGTCCTTATTCTCTTCTGTTCGGTATTATTTTTCCTTTCTTTCTTGTGGGTTCACATTTTTTAGAAATTATAACTTTCACCCTGAGACACATCATGACTAACTGATTTTAAGATCTGATATAAATTTTCCACATGGCCTGTAAGGCAAGGCTGTTGCCTGTCATAATACTGGACTGCCAACCAAAAGATCAACAAAATGAAAAATGCACTCATTTCACTAAAATTCCAATCACTTCATTATCTCTAGGGACTAAGGGTGATCCTGGTTTACCGTTTCATCTTTTTCTTTCTTTCTTTTCCTTTTTTTCCCTTTTTCTACATTGCATTTATCTCACTAATATACTCAGCATGAAAAAATGGTTACTGAAATTCTAACCACTCTAAAAATGTAGTCCCTGAAATTTTTTAATTCCTTACATTGGATAGCTTATATTTGAACTTTAAAAAGGTAAAAGCACTATCCCATTTTAGCCTCACAAATGCTACAAATGCCCTGGGAGATAAAGATCAAAATAAGCATTTATTAAGTATCATCTATGAGGTAGATTTGGGGAGGGGCTTTTACCAACAGCAGAACAGTGGTGTAGACAACGGATTCTGAGTCCGAAAGCCTGGACCAGAAACCCAGCTCTACCTTTCACTAGCTGTGCTGCCATGGGTATTACCACTTAATTTCCCTGCGCCTCAGTTTCCTCAAACAGAAAATACACCACAATTGCTCAATAATAAACATGTGAGTTTCTCACGGACAGGATGAGTTGGGAAACGTTATACTAATTTTATATAGGAGGACACGGAGATTCAAAGTTAAGCAATTCGCCTAGCACGTAGGTAGGAAGGGACATTGCCATGCTTCCAGCCAGATCTGTCAGAGCCCAAAGACCCAAACCTCTTTTAGCTCTTTCTACGGTACCGTAGGTAGTGTGGGAGCTGCTGAGATACGGATGTAGGCACAGAGAAACAGAGATATGAAAAATGTATATATTGTTTCTACATGCTAAATCCGGGAAGCAACCTTTCCCAAGGTTCTATAGCTATTTGAAGGAAGAGCTAGGATTAAAACCCTTCAGGACAGTCAGAGTCATAAACTCGGCGAATGTTTAAAAGTTACCTTTTGCAACAGAATTAATTTGGTCGTTGTGTATAAACATCATTTTAGAATTGGCTCATTATCCTAATAAACACAAGACATTTTTCTACAGCTTTCAACTGCTTATGTGGTGCGGAGACCCATGGAAATAAATAACAATGGCCGGCTCTAGCATACTGCAATATCAAATAGGTAAATGAATAAATTATTAAGTCTAACTCGGTTTTTGTTTTTTTTTAATCTAGCGAAATGCACATGATCAGCTTGTAAGAGGAGAAATACAGACGATAATGGCGCATTTGGGGATCATTCTCCTCAAGCTCTTCAGCATTCAAGAGTTTTCAAGTACTGGTCCCCAACTTACTCTTCCAGCCTTATCTCCCACTCCCTTCCCACACTCAGTAACGCTGTCTACCCGGACGGACTCTGTACCCTGAGCCTTCCTGCCTCCACTCTTTGGCACTTGCTGCCCACCCCACCCAGCACGAGGCCAGCTGGAATAAATGGACAGTCAATATTTGCATCAGGAAGCTGGAGGGAGGTTGTTCTTCCTCACCTCTACATGTACTACGGGTCATACCTTACCTTCTAGGTCCAAATTGTTCATTGATTTTAAAAGCATTGAATTACTATAAAAAGCTTCTCTCATATGACAGATCCTGTGCTAAGAAGTGGGATAACCAAATAAGGGGTAGAGAGTCTGCCTTCATGGAGTTAGAACCCAAATCCTACTTCCTTCATGAAATCTTTCCTAATTTCCAGCCAGAAGTGTCTTCCTCTCAAAGCCCCTCCTGACTGCATTTTTTTAAATCATTTATTTATATATCTGTGTTATTGCCTGTACTAGAAAACAAAATCCTTCAAGGCAGAGGCCTTATTTTTAAAAGTTTTTTGAGCCTCTCACAGTTTGTCAGGCGATGCTTTGCATATATTAATCCCTCAACAGATGTTTGTTAAATTCTAAAACATTTTAATTATCTAACAGTGATATCCTATGAATTTGTCCAATCTATAAGAGCTTTCGGAATAAACATAATATGTTCAAGGAAACTAATTTGAGATTTAAAGATTTGTTTTGGTGCAAAGTAATAAATTTTTATTGTCGATGAAAAGGGTCTCTTCTCTTTTAAATACACTAACAGATTTCTGCTCAGTAAATAGGTTAAAAACTGGCTGATACATATCATCTGTTCTTAAACTGATTTTTTAGTGCTTTTAATCTCCCAAAGACATATACATTGAATGATAGAAAAACAAATAAAAATAAGATAAATGACTTATTTTAGTCAGATGCTCAGACAGGCCACCATCTGGGATGTTTTAAGGAATCTGAAAAGTGAAAGTAGCAATGCACTTATCCTTTATTTTGTCATTTACACTTAGTCTTATCCCTCACAGAGAGGTTTCCAGTGGGAAGTAGAAGTAATTGCTTTTTCCACCGCCATGCCTAGGGTTCCATGACTCATTTGTAGATTGATGTACCCCACGGTGCAGCTGTTGGGAGCACGGACCCTGGAGTTCGACCAGCTGGCTCCTCCACCGACTTGTGTCTACTCAACCACAAAGCAAGGATGATCAGAGTACTTACCTGTGAGGTTTATGAGGTTCAATGAGTTCATATTTTGAACAGTTTGTTAAATAAAAATTCATCCAGCCACCCCCATGTGCTTCGTCTGAACTTTGAACATTGTCCTACAGGACGTCTCCTTTCATAGTCCCTGGCTTTCAGTGGCCCAGATACCGAGACTGCTCAAGAAGCAGCCTTCCCAGCAACGTCCTCACGACCAAGTGAAGCAGTGAGGCAAAGCCTTTATACCCGTGCATCCAGGCAAACCGCGCTACTGCAGGGATTATGCCAGAAGGGGACTTTAGCCTCTCAAACAAGTCTTGCTTCTATTTCCTTTTTGCATGGACATAATTCCACTAATGACTATCACATCCTGGATCATACTATTGCTGGAGGGAAAGCATAGTTTATAACTGAAACTGCCTAAAACCACCAAGCCACACACACTTGATAGATTTCCTCATGAACACTACTTGGAAAAGGATTGGAGCACATTTCTAGATAATTCAGTGACATTCTATCTGAACTACCTGAAAAGGTTGAATACAACCATGTGCTTGGAATGTGTGCTATTTGTTGGGGTTTCCCTCAGGCACAAGGACTAAATTCAGACAGTTTCTATGGCAACTATCTGAGAGGCCAAGCACATCCTTAGCAACACAGGTCAAAGGTTTTTTGAGGGGCGGGGGGGGGGGGGGGATTTTTGAAAAGCCACCACCACTTGCTTTTAACCGTGAACCACTGACAAATACAGAATCAGGGCTGCTGGCCTTGTTGCTTCAGGCTGATTCACCACAGCCCACAAAACACACATCCCCCCACACCCTGCATCTGTGTCCAGCTGGAACAACAATGCAAAGGCAGCTAACACTTACTGAAAACAATTTGTCACGCACCTGCTAAGACTTCTATATGCATTACCTTATTGATTTCTCATAAGAACCCTATGAAGCAGGTATTATTAAAATCTACCTCTTAGCAAAATTCAAAAGATGAGGGTCAAAGAAGTCGAGAGACTTGCCCAAGATCACACTGCCTGGCTCATTCTATACTTATGCTCTTATTCATAAACATAATAAGACATCTAGTATCACTTCATCCATTACACATCTTCCCAAAAATTCAAAAAAGTTTTTCTTTTTTCTTTTTCTTTTTTTGAAAGAGAGAGACAAAGATAATGGGAGTAGGGGAGGGGCAGAGAGAGAGGGAGAGAATCTCAAGCAGACTCCACGTTCATGGCAGAGCCCGACACGGTGCTCAATTTCACGACCCTGAGATCATGACCTAAGCAAAAATTAAGAGCGGGATGTTTAACCAACCGAGCTACCCAGGAGCCCCATTTTTTTATTTTATTTATTTATTTATTTATTTATTTATTTGAGAGAGCACGAGCAGTGGGGCAGAGGGAGAGGGACAAGCTGGCTCCCCACTGAGGAGGGGAAATTTGAATACAGAGACACACAGGGAGGGAAGACAATGTGGACACATGGGACAAGATGGCCATCTACAAGTAGAATGGAGGGGCCCCACACAGACCCTTATGGCCTTCTGAAGGAACCAACCCCACGGACACCTTGACTTTGGATGTCCAGCCTCTAGAACTATGAGACAATACATTTCTGTTGTTCAAGCAACCCCATCTGTGGTGCTTTGTTATGCCAGCCCATCAATTTAAATACCCCAAGGAACACTGGTTTTGACTGAGAAAGGCACCGCCATTCCAGAATAGAGGTGGCCTCCAGCAAGGCTGTGTTCAGTTAGCACACAGGCAGTGCCCACAGCATCTCAGGGGTCCACTCGAAGCTTGATTAATTCTCCTGCTGGGGTCCATTTCCTCCAAGAGGCATTTTTAGACACTCTTGTCATTTCCCCATTTATCTGAGTAAGGACATGTAATTTCTAGGTCCCAGGTCTCCAAACCTTCAATAACTCAACACACAAGCATCGATTTCTCCCCCTTGCAAAAAGCTCAGTGATAGGCAAACCTTAAATAGAGTTAGTCATCGCTCATCCTTTAAAAAAAAAAAAAAAGGCATTAAGGTCTTTGAATTCAAATAATTTTCCCTGCTCAAAGGTTGAACTATGCATTTCCAAAGAACAAAGAAAGTGCAGGAGGAGAGGACTAGAAAATTCGTTTTCAAATATCATAGGTGATGTGGGCAGGAAAGGATGTGACTAGAATTCATAATACCGCCAGGACCAAACAGTGCTACATACCCTGTGTGCCCTTTATCATGCCTCTGCACTGTATATTGCTAAGAGCAGCATAAATTATAAAGCAAGGCCAGATATGAATAAAGATCAGATTAAAAGCCTGCTCGCACCGTTGCTCAGCAAGTAACGTTCAGATCAATCATGCCCATCTTTTTGGTCTCGCTCGCAAATCTCTGGCACCACATTTCTTCAGGTTTAGAAAAATCACAGGAAGATCTGACCGATTTGCAATCTTGACAAATTAGGGACCCAATTAAAGTGGCCAGTAATAAGCTAGAAATAAACAGGCAGGCATAAAAGCAAGGCTGCTGCCTCGTATTTCAGACTGATTTAGGAGGAAGGAAGGAAGACAAGGAGGGATGGATGTCCCCCACCCCAACACACAAATATAAGCACTCTGGTCTCTCACTAAGCTTTTGTAATGTAGATATGCCGATCTTTCAGTATATGCAAATCTGGATTTACACACATACAAAACTGAGGGTGATTATTTGTTGTATCGATGGCTTCATGGTCAGATGAATGGGCTCATGAGAGATACATGCCCCCCCCCCACAGGACTTAAAAAGTTTTAAGTCTATACGATCAATTTAAATACAAATTACTACCATAATTATTCTTATTAAAGAAAAAATGAGCTCTAAGGAATATTTTGAGATCTGTGTTTAAGCTTATTCCTGGCTAGCCTTCATTCCACCCAACACTCCCCAGAAGTGAGTAAAGGAAGGGGGAGCTCCCCTCAGAGCCACACACAGTGCCCAGCCCTGAATGAAAGGCGGGGGCGGGGGGAGGTGACAGGGAAGGGAGGCCTCCTCATGAAGCAGGTGGCTATCTAGCCAGGGTGCTTCCCTGACGTCTGGAGCAGGCAGGCAGCAAGCATGTCAGCGCTGAATGCCCTGTGGTATCCAGGTTTACACCTCAGAAACCCCAGGAGGAAGGGAGGGAAGAGTTTGCTTTCGTTCATATCTGTCAGAACATCATAAGGGCCTTCCCTGGCCTAAAGAGGAGCATAGGAATCACTATTTCTCATAAAAGATGGCTTAATTATTTTTGACAAAGTATTTCCTCATGTATTATACAACAGTTATCTGTGTCTTATAAAGCATACAGATCAGCATTTTGTCAAGATAATAAAATCACACATTCTGTCCTTAGAAATTCAGTATGAGGTAAATCTGAATTAGATTTCATCCCATCGGGTTTAGACACAGAGATTAAAACAAAACAAAACAAAAATCCCCCAAACACTTGCTGTAATACTAGCTCATTTATAAAGTAGCCTGGAGGCAAGGATTCTCATGACAAAAATGTACAGTTATGCAGTGTGGCAGGTTCACTTCTAATCCCTGTAGTAAGATCATAATTGACAATTGTGGCGGGCAAGTGAGTCAAAGAAAAATTAATTTAATTCTATCTTCATAAAGAATACCATGCCACTATGATATCTCACTCATGAGTTAGTTTTCTTTAGTTGAAAAAAAAAATTTTTTTTTAATTAGCTAGTATTTTA